TTCCTACATGTCTTTCACATGCCTTATCAGAACTCCTGGGAGGATTGGTTCCAGGATATTCCCAGGCAGAGAGGTAAGGCTGACTAGTTGGGGGTTCCCAGGGTCTTTCTTTCTACCCTTCCCTTTTTAAAGATAGTTGTGGTGATTTCCTTTTCCCAGCCACATGGGAGTTCCTGTGGCTGCCATGAATCTTCAAATATCATGGAGAGTGACTTGGCAACTTCATTGGCCAATTCCTTGTGCAAAGATCAGAGATTACTGTAGACTCCTGGTTGTTACCACTCAGGCCAGAATGGACTACATCACACAGAACAGAAATGCAGACTGCAAGAACCAGAGTCTGACTGTGGGTGAGAAAGAAATACCTCTTTTTGTTACTAACTCATACTTGTAACTTGTTTATCTTTTGCATGTATTCAGATAGTGCATAGAAACATATTTGCAGAACTGCAGAGAGGCATTATTTTTTTAAATAAAAGGCATTGACTTTGTTATACATATTTGTGTTGTGTTTCAACTGCTTGGGGAACTATGTTCAATTAAGAAGTCAGAAGTCATGAAGCTAAATTAATCTGGGCAAAACTCCATGCTCCATGTTATACTTGTACATCCATGAAAGAAATGAAGAATTGTTTTAGCTCCCTAATACTCCTGCTTCTTTCAGCATGTCCCAGCTGAGAAATGGGACACAACATGAAATACTTTATAGTTTTTTATGTGAAAGGTGACTATAACTGTCACTTCTATTTATCTTATAGTTTCCTGGGTTTTGCCAGTCTTTTAGTCCATTCAGACAGCATAGCTTTTAATTTACCTGTCATCATTCATATACTACCCACTTGAGCATTGCAGCAGGGAAAAATTATGTGAATTTCTGGAAATGCAGACTTCCTAAGAACTATTTTGAGAAGTAATATTACACTATATTTGCAGTCATCTTTTGTATAAAGGATCAGTAAAGAGCTAAGAGGAAGAGTTTGAAGCATACGGCACTTACTGGAAAAGGAAATGGACTTACACAGTTTTAATGAAGGGAAGTATTTTTCCCTTGTGATAAATTGAAGTGACATGCGAGGGTGGCCCTTAAAAATCCTCCATTTACTCCCTTAGGGCAAAATCTCTTAATGGGCTAGGTCCAACTTCACTAAAGATGATAGAGATTCTTAATTGGCTTCAATAGGCCTTGGATCAAGGCCACAGGAGTCATATAGATCAAAATATTTTCGGCTGTCCAGCTGGATGGCAAGAAATGACTGTAGTGATAATATTTGTATGAGAAGCTTGTATTTTTACTTTGCTGTTTCACTGTGGGGAAAAACATATTTGTTGTTTATTTCTTTGTCCAATACACATCTATAGCTTTCTAATGTCATGCAGAGAACACTAATGCAATATATTATGCATGCTATCTATGTTATGTTATGTCATTGGCTTTCACCTCACCTCATTTTTCTGTTGAGTCTGGAAGGTGGTTGAGGGCTGATGAGAAGGGAAATACCCTAAATCTGTCAGATTTATTTAGACATGTTGATGTGTTTTGAAAAAATGAGTACTCATTGCTGTGCATTGTTTTTCTGAGTAAATTTCTGAACTGGCACAAGCTAGATTCTTTATATGTGCACAATTGCATTGATCAGAATCTGCTTTATTTTTTTCCCATATATGATATAATTTATTAAATATGGACTCCAACAGTCACAGGATAAAAAATATTGTATCTACCCTGAAATAATTTTTCTGTTTCTGATTTTTGTTAACATATTTTTTTTTTATTCCATCTTTCCTCTTTGTGCTTTATTAATTCACTTTCATCATGAGGTAAAACAAATACAGTAGAAATATACTACACAAGTCTCTGTAACAAAAGAGCGCACTCTATCCCTCCACTGTGTTATTCTCAGTATCCACATGGTAAACACACATGAACATAAAACATGTACATAATCCCAAATTAAGAAAAGATTCTAAATGAAAATATACAGTCTATTATGGATCTTATTTAAGCAATTTGCTGATTGATATTGTCGTGAGATTTTCTATCCTGGTTTACTAATTTTTATAGGAAAACTAAAGGGAAAGGAATTACTAGAAAAAAATTAACAGTTTCAATTAATACCCTCTGCAATTTAAGATGGCAGAAACAACATTTTCTGAAATCCTCAAGTGCTTAAATGTCTTGGACCTTTTCTATACAATTGTTTTTAACTACAATTCAGAACATGAACCAACATAACTCAGCTTCCATCTTAATATTACACCTCAGCGCACAGAACATCTGTACTTGTGTGTAAAGAAAAAGACATTTTTATACAGCAATTTTGAAATGCTTCCATTTATTTATTCATGAGACCCCTAAAACTGCTCATGAAATTCCTAAAACTGTTCAGGTTTGCTAATCAAAGGAAAGTAGTGTCACTACTGAAATAAACACCTTTTGAACATTCTGTTATAATTTCAGGAAATAAAATGAATAGCAAATTCAGAGATATCTTGGCTAATTTGAAATATAAAGATGTCACTAACATCAAGTTTTCAAATTACTTGTTTTCAGCAACTCTTTACAGGCTTGGGCAGTAGTTGCTCATGTGATGTAGACACTGTTTTTCTTGCTTCCAAACTCTTACTTAAGTACACAAATCAGAATGTACTTCCTTTTGTCAGTAAAACAAAAACGAAAAATATACTTTCTAAAGGATTCATATACTGTGGTCTGAAATAAGAGGAAGAAAAAACTATTTAATTAGGACATGGAATAAAATCTGCTAAATATCCTCTAAAAAGTAGTCCAAAGGAAAAAGCAAGAAAAACAAAGAACACAATACAGACAACTTTTTTTTCTTCCCTTCTATGTGTGCCTTTTGTTTTCTTTTATGTAAAAACAAATGGTGTACTGTAGCCAATTTTTTTTCACTTTTTCCTGAGATTCCATCATATCCCCTACTTCCTTTGAAAGTAACTGGATGTCACAGATAGTACTAATCCAAACCAACACCATACTTGGAAAGGGACTGAGAAGAAGATAGAAACAAACCAATGCACAGTTAAAAGAAATATGGAAAAAAACATAAGAAGATGGTTAGTGCATCTGATTGAAGAAATTCTTTCTTTCCCCAGTTGTCTCTCTTGCACAGACACACACACATCTACACACTTGATTTATTTGTGAAACAGTGTCTTCTAAACTTAGATTTTTGCAAAGTGGAAAGGCAATTAAACAGAACAGCTTGAAGCTGCCAATCACTCCCACTACCAACAAAAGCATCTACTATCACATCTACTATCAAAGGAAATAATGTAATGTAAAAAACCCCCCACATTCTACCAAAGAAAACAATGTAAACACGCAAGTAAAAAATAAGCTTGTTTATCATCTGTCATAGAATAGCTACATAGCATACATTTTTTAACCCTCCCCCCTAAGGATATGTGTTTTTGTATCCCATTATGTTAATTTGGCCATGCATGTGACATGGAAGTTAAGGAACAATGGGAGAAGTTAGCTTTCCTGCATGCTTTTCTGTTGGGGAAACACACTATTACTCTTGCAGGTTGGGGTGTTGGATTTTCAAAAAGTTTTTGGCTTCTGGTGTACAAATAAATTGTGAATCACAGCTTATCATCACTTAAAGATGCATGTGCATGCTAGAGTTTGCTGAAACATGATTGGCTGCTACATAAATCAATCTGATAGAGATCAGTCCCATGAAAAAAAAAATATAGCATTAGCCTCTTCTTTTGGAATGTAATTCATTTTAGATAGTGGTTATTGATGATTTCATTCCACTGGTACATGTACATGTCTCGACCATGTTTTTATATAAAATATTTAAACAGTACAATGTGTTCATTTCAAGAATGACCATGAAGAAACAATGATTAAAAATTTGTTTTTGCAATATTCCAGATGTAACATTTTCATGCAGAAAACTTTGTTTCCCTTAAAATGAAATTAATCTTTTACAGCAATTTTATTTTATTTCTCTACCTTGCATGCAACATTTACGTGTTTATCACTGTAATATTTTCTACACCAGATTTTTTTTTCACAATTTCTGTGAATACTTTCAATTAGCCTTATTATAGTTAGACCAGATTTTGCTGATGTGAAGTATGTGAGACTAAGCCATTGACTCAGACACTCAAATTGTCCTTGATAACTCATCCTGACTTTGGATTAACCCTTGTTACCAAGGGGAGGTTCTTTGCTTTTGCAATAGAAGGTTCTTTGCTTTTGATTTCATATTAATTTCCATGTAAGCATATAACTATTTTCTTTGATCCATGAATCATAATAATGGTAAAAAATGGACTTTGAAAACATCCTATGTAGATACCTAATGGTTCCTCATAGCACTGTGATAAATGAGGTGAGCACCCTAACACATAGAGAACAGTAGTGACTTGTCAAAAAATCATAACAAACCACCAGTAGAAGGGTGTTTGTGAAACATTACCCTGATCTTCTCCTTCCTTTCAACGTGTTTTAAATACCCATACACAATCACATGCAAGTTCTGTGCAAGATGAAATTCAGCCTCTCAGCAAGGAAAATGATATATTCTTAATATATTCTCTGAAATTTTTACTTGGGGTTAGCTTCCTTTTTTCTCTGTCCTCCACCTCTTTTCAAACTGAACAAAGCATTCCTTCCAGAAGGCAATCTCTTTTAAAATACACCATTTTTGACATTATCTAAACCAGGAAATAAAGCAGTCTGGGAAAAATATCTTAAAATATGAAAAACATTTTATTATGTGCCTGGCTAGTTGAAAAGCAGAGAAACAGAATCTTACTAAACTTTCCAGAATAATTTACCTTTAGGCTGAGAACAAGCATGGAAAATTCAGGGAGCTTCTTCAAATGTTTACTTTTACTAATCTCTCCTCCTTCTTGAAAACACAGAGGGACAAATAAAAGATAGATGAGCACTGTGTTCTTGCAGTGAAGGACACCTCCTGTCTCCTGAGGAATATTCTCAGTGGAGGAACTAAGCAGTACTCAGTTGGGTAATAGTCCTGAGTTCACGGTAAGAGTATGTCTGAAACTATTTTCTCCAGAGACCAGAGATTTTGAAGTATGCACCTTATCTATAGACAGAGGTTTTGGAAAGATTTTCTGAGCTTGTATGTGTGTCTCTCTCTGTCTGTCTGTCCATCCCTCCCTCTCTTTTTCTAGTAGAAACCTTTCGCATTCTGGTGACCTGATGGCTGCTAGCAGGTTTCTCTGATCTGTTTCTGTAAATGACATGCAGAAGGCTTATAAAGCAAAATCTCATGTAGCAGAATTTTTCTCTCACTCATAGAAATCCTCTGGTTTTGCTGCAGATGTTTTTCTGTCATTCTTTGCATCCCCACTTTCTGCTTATGCTGCAGAGCATCATTCCCACTGGTTTTCAATGAATAGAGGAAAGAGAAAAGAAAGGGAAAGGAAAGGGAAAAGGAAATTACAAGGGAAAATCTACAAAATTGTCTGCAATTCCCAACAGGCGCTAACAGCAGTGTCATTTTTAATGTGGTCTTGGGGACACTTGTGTTTGAGCAATTACCTTTTTCTGGAAAATCTTCCGAGGTTGTTTAAATTAGCTTGTTTTAAGTTAATATTAATTCAACATCACTTACAAAGATTCTGGTATTAGCTCATGGAAACATTGTTTCTATATAATTAGTTCTGTCATGTTCTGACTTTCCGAAAATTACAGGATTGTTTGCCATTTTGACAGAATGCTGACACAACAATCATTTATTTCCAATAAAATACCCCAAAGGAATAAATACAGCTCTGTTATAGTTATGTAAAAATAAGGATATCCTAGGAACTAATTGATCATACAATATGTCTAATTTCATTATATTTGACAATGATACAAAAGATTATGCTAACTGCTAGTAGTTTGCTTATGTGTTTAGGCTGAAATACTTATCAATATTCTTGGAAAATGCATTTCTGTGGGCAAGTTTTGCAGGGAGGAGGAAAATCAATCTTAATTGTTCTGAGTACTACAAGAAGAATTAACAGTTACTCTATGCTGAGCACTAGGTTTATGAAAGTCGTTGAAGGCTACAAACTTTTTCCAAGTGATGTTTTATAGAACTGCTTTTAAAAATCCCAGAGGGTAAATAGTATTCTCAGAATAAACAGAAAAATGCTGACCTTGTCAGATTTAGCTGCTGAAAGCCAAGCTGTTTTAAAACTTAGAGGATCAAGGGTCATGGTAATAAACAACACAGATAAAAAGAAAGAAAGCAAGGAAAGAAAAAAGAAAGAAAACTGGAAACAAAAAAGGACTACACAGTGAATATAAGTAATAAATATGTTGACCTTGATAAGAAGAATATGAGATATTTATGCAAAAGCCAGGCAGGGGTGAAGAGATTGCAGAGGGAAAGAAGAGAAAGTGCACAAATTGTATTTGGGAAAAAATATTTCTTAGAACTTGTTTTGAAGCCGGAAATGAGTCACTTTATCTTCATGTGTTTTTGGTTTTGAAAGGGGAGAAAGGTCAAAGCTTCTTTGTTTTAAATAAACTGGTCACTAGTTCTGAAGTGTAATATGATAGGGTTCAAGAATCCTAATGAAACTGGTATTTTCCTGACACCCTGGGCTGCAGCACCTCAGCAGTTGTATGGTCATGTATTGTAAGCCCAGGGAGTTTTATAAACAAAGGCATTACAGAGCCTGCCTTTGCTCATGACCTTCATACCCTGGTGCTCCTGTATCAGCCATATGGGCAGTGTGATGGCTAAATTTGCCACCATTTATATACTTTTCCAAATTGCAGCTGCACACATGGCCCTCCATCGTTATGCTCAGAAACATGAACTAGAGTTACTACCTTTGGCCCTGTATGATGCCTCTTTCCAAAATTATTTTGTTGAGGTTAAAAAAACAAAGTGCTGAGACACTCAAAGTGACACAGAAATTAAAAATGCCATTGGAAAAAAAGGCAACAGGAATGCTACAGCCAAAAAGCCCACGCTCCACCAACCCAATCCAGAAAGGTTTTAACAAGGCTTTTGGTATAAGTGAGTTTGCTGAGGTCTGGAGTTTACTAGAGCCCTCACAGCTGTGTCTACTGGGAGTTGTGTTTACCAGATTCTACATCTAAGGTACTCAGCTTCTAACTGCAGGCCAAGAAACACTTGCAGAGGGAATGAGATAATAGCAAAGAAACAATATAGATGAATTTCAGCACTGCCTTGCACTGGAACACCTTATGGTAAAGGAGAGTCTTCATGCTGTGCAAACAGAAAAGGAAATAAATAGTTCTATATAAGATTAGAAGTCAAAAGAACATCCCACAAGCAGGAAAAGGGAGGAAAAACTTCAATGGAAAATAAATGGAACAATCTCTTCCTATTGTTCAAGGTGTGCTTATAGAGTTACAGAATGGTTTGGGTTTGAAAGGACCTTCAATATCATCAAGTTCCAACCCACCAGTCAGTCATGGACAGGGACAGCTTCCAAACCTAGAGCAGGTTGCTCAAACCCCATTCTGGCCTGACCTTGGACACTTTTAGGGATGGGGGAGCCACAACCTGTCTGGGCCACCTGTGCCAGTGCATCATCACCCTCACAGTAAAGAATTCCTTTCTATTTTCAGATCTAAACCTGCCCTCTTTCAGTTCAAAAACATTATCCTTTGTTCTGTCAATATGTAGTCGTGCAATAAGAATGTGTGTAGTGCTTAATACAGGTCTTCACATCAGGCTCGTGTGGACAGCAATCTCTTAATAGTTAAACTCCCATGTCCTATTATTCTGCACAAATGCAAGGTTTTTATCTTTGTCTCAACTCATAGGACCTTCCTGTTCTTCTTGAGATCCTTTCCTGACCTGCTCTTGAGATCATTCTCTTCCAGACTGAGAATTCCTATAAATTTTGTTTGCTGAGTCATGCTGCCACTTATGTTTAAATGTGAGATATCAAGCTGTATCTGTAATATATTGCTCCTTTTTCTTTATCACATTCCAAGCTTTACACATTAGATAATGTCCTAAATGTATAGAATAATTTCCATCTAAAAGTTCTTTCCTACATTGCTTCTGTAATTACTTCAGGATTAGGCTAAATGTTCTTTAGGAGACTCATTTCTTCTTTCGGTGTTCATAATACATCTTCTGCAAAAGGCCATCTGTTCCCAGACCACTAGAAACAACAATGAAAGAGCACACTTATACAATAACATGGGGATATGTATCACTGGCTACAAAATTGAAAAGCAATTATGGTAATGAAAATTGTGAACTTTTAAAATGACCAGCTTCATTATTCTTTGTGGCATCAATCCCCAAATTGGAACAATTACTCAGTTTACAATAAAACTAAATAAAAGGTGACTGATTCATTGGACATTAGCTGTTTCAGAGGTAGCATCATGCTAGCTCTGAAGCAGCTTGCTGTTTGAAGTAGCACTTGAAATGACCTATTATGCAGAAGCACCCCAAGTGCTTGGATTTCCTACTTTGGCCTTTCTTCAACATTCCACTTTCTATTGTGCCTTCTCCTTTTTCTCTAGCCTTGAATCAGTCTGTCATTCATTCAAAATGAACCAATAACTGGAGGTAATAATTCCTTTCCAGTTTATTTTACTTTCCTCTTTATCTTTCTGCTTACCCATGTCTGCTCTAGGATTTTGTGCCCGAGAGAAACCAGCCTGCTTTGACTGTTGTGATCCTGAGACATCTGAGAATGAATTTCTGAGGATGCACTGACAACATACATATCATGAAAGTGAAGTAATTTAACAGAGCAGAATTAGGTAGGGTGCTTAAGGTGAACCCTATAAACAAAGACTTTGCCTATACCTTGGCAGAAGCCAGGAGGACTAAACAAAAACCAAACCAGAAAAAAACATGATAATTTCAACCTCTTTCTTGAGGCAAATCAAACACCAGTTTGGTTTAGGTTGTTTGGTTTAGGTTTCTAACACACCAAAGAGATTCTTGATTAGAAACCACCAATCAGTAAATACTATGTTGTGATAGAGGTACAGGGGAGGGTATTGGTCTTTATTGTGCTCAGTGAAAAAGGTTGAAATATTGCTTTCTTACCTTGAAGCACTTTATGATTGACTTCAAAAAACTGATGTTCACAAAGCATCTCTAAGTCATGTTTTCCTGCTTATCCACCTGTTGGAAAGAAAAATGAACAAAATGAGAAGATATTCAGACCTATGACAAGATTTTCTAAAAGTTGAGTTAATCTACAGTCCTTCTCATTTATTTTTGTATCCCTCCAGAGGGGGAAAGATTAATTGTAAAAATACTAGTTTGCTTTTCTGCTCAATCTGGAAAACAATGCAATTAGAAAAGTTTCAGTAGAGCTTCAGATATGTCATTGATCCATGCATATTTCTAAACCTTTAGAAAGTTTCTTTGTTATTGAGGAGTCATCAGATTAAAACCTAAATTAAAGAAGGATGTTCCTGTGAGTTAGTGTTGGACTGGGAATCAGAGACTCACTCACTGCTGGAACTGTTATAGACTTGTTTTGTGATTTTGGTTGTGATCCAGCAATGCACTTAAATCGTTATTTAATATAAAACCCTGGAGTGGTGCCTTGAAATTTAAGCACACAGTTAAGTCTTTATTAAACAGGAGAGTTAGTCGGTCTGAACTCATTTCTCTAGCTATAAGATGTGTTAGTACTTATATTCTCCTACAGTTTATTTTTACAGAAAACCTTCTGGAGCAAAAAATATATCTTCTGATCTGTGCAACACCACGACCAACTGATGTCAGCTGGAGCCTGTAAAAATCATTCTGCTGCAAAGCAGTGATAGTCAATGAATTATCTTCTCATCCTTTGGAAGCAAGTAACTGTTATGAAAATACTATTTTCATGGAGGCTTAATGGAGAGGGGATAAGGGACACTTACCAGTTTCACATCACTCACATCCTTCTGGTTTAAGGGTCCCTCTCTGGCTGCAGTCCCACCTTCTCCTGCTGCTGGCTGGAGAAGATTCAAGCTGCTCCTTCAGCAGCCAGCTGTAATTGCTGCGATACAGCAGCAGGGAGTAAGTAAGGCAGTAAGAGAGCAGACTAATGTACCTGCACTAAAGCCTACAGTTTGGGAATGAAATGGAATGAATTTTCAATATTTTGTCTTATTTGTTAATATTTTACAATTAATTTTGATAAATATCTTTTTTAATACTGTGCTGTAAGGGAGCTCCCAAAGCCTCCTTTATTTCATGGTCTTTGCATGCTTCCTACAATGGATTGTGAAGTCTCTGTACTTGCCCAAATACAGTTAGAAATTTTGTTCACAGAGTGAGAAAGAGTGCTCACAAGTAAGAAGGATTATTAATTTCTACAGCAGCACTGAGAATATGTAAGCAATACAAATCATCAATAATTCACTTTAATTTAAAACGTAATTGAATCCTCACAGATCCTTTGAATACTTCCTGGCTACATATATGACCTGGCTACACATTACATTGTATGACTATCTTTTCTCCTTAGAAAATATACTTATATTTCTCCTTATCTTTATTTTTTCAAAACCAGAGAGAAAAATCCATTTTGTGCTTCTGTGTCAGACAGTCTACTTACAATTTCTGAGACAGGCCTGAGGTCTCTAAGACCCATAACCTCTCTCTTGTGTTCATTCATCAAAGCGCCTATGATCTAGCTTCTACATTTGGATGACAAGGAGGAGACTGCTAATTGTCTTGGAAATGTAAAATAAACACCTTTTCTACATATGTTAATGCCATTGTTTATTGACTACTTAGGTTGGATGTAATTGGGGCCACTTGGGAAACATAAACAGCTCAGGGCCTGTCAATACCTGACCTTTAGAATATTCAGTACAATCAGTGTTATGTGGTGTTTAACAAGCTGGCCTTTTCATGTGGATGCAGCTGTAGTTGTCATGCAATAAGGAATGAAGATCCTGTTCTTCCTTACAAACTTTAAAAATTATTTTTAATTTCATCTGTGGTGTTGAAGTAACTCAGAACAAAATAAATTCTTCCACTGGAAATGTAGTTTGCAGTCACAATCTTTGAAAAAAGTGAGAACCAGTTTCATGTGAAAGGCAGGGAAAAAACCAACTCCAAAGCAGAAGAGTGAAAAGGGGCCAGGATGTTAAACAGTTTAACTAAGAGTATCTTCATGCATTATGACATATGGCAAATGTAAATTAAGCCACCTTCAGGATGTCATAAGCAAAATTTTCAACAGTGGTTCTGATGACTGAGAGGGTCTTGAAGAATCTGTCATCAGCAGACCATAAAGGCTAAAACACAAGCTATCACTAACATGCAGATGTTATCAGGATGTGACTTCAGGACAGCTACAGATCCTGATGGGGAGAAAAAATTGCAGATGTTTAATTGATTATTGTGGAAACTAATTGCAAACTATTATCTTTTAATTATTTAATTTTTTTACAAAAGAGATAGTCTATGTCTTCAGCCTCTATTGCCAGTGGGTAAGTTAAGAGTTCCTGAAAATAAAAACAAACAACTTTTTCAGTGAGCTAATTAAAACTGTTAATATTTCTGAGCAGACTGATAGATAAACATTTCCATTTCAAATTACTCTTTGAAAGAAAGAAAGGAACAAACAAAAAGAAAATCTCAAGCATACTGCCTTCAAATAATGAAATATATAACATTCTATTTTAACAGAAGATAACAAGAAATCAGAAATTGTTCATACAATGGTGACTTATTTTACCATAAAAAAAAAGAAATAAAGAAAAACAAAATGGAAAGACAAAGTGACAAAATGAGTTTAGAAGATAAAAGTTAAGGCCAGTAATTTAAGATAACATTTCTTACAAAGTACATACAACAATACCAACAATAAGAAACCAGTTGTACAGACTTTTGCCTTTAAACTGTTTTTATTTACTGACCATGATTTGTATAAATGGCTATTACAGTTTTCACCAGCCTCAGAAATTCCTGGGAATGGGGGAGTAAAGAAAACCTTTGGAAGGATTGTGAGTACCAGGCAATGAGACCACAAGTTCTCTACAGCAAATACAAATTTCCACAGTCTTTTGGTGACTTTTCACTTCCACAGTCTGTACTTTACATGTTTCAAAAAGCTGAAAGTCAAATGCTTTGGTAACATTCCTTGAAGTGAGGACCACTTTTTTTTCTTAATAAACTAAAAAAAATTAGTTTCTTAATAAACTAAAAAAAAACCCAAACAAACCTAAATTAAATTTAAACTAAGTAAAAAATTAAAATGAAACAAAACAATAATATAAGATAAAATATGTTTGATGTTACTCCCTCACCAAGTGGCTTTCAATATTCCATCAATTGGTGTTTTCTGCTCAGAGTGTAGAGCTGAAATAGGTCAGTTTACTAGTGCCCTCTTCTGCTTTACACTGGTCTCTGCTGCCCTCTCCTAACCTCTGCTCTCCCTCCAGCAGTGTCTGTTCTTCCACTCACTGTTCCAGCAGGACCTTGGCCCCCTTAGGTCCCTCACGTCAAACAAGCAGGCATCTACTATATTACATGGCCTGAAGGTGACTGCACAGGGAGAGAAGGGGAGAGAAGGGGCGGGAGTGCAGGGAGGGGGGAAGGGGAGAGACAGAGACAGAGAGAGGGAGGGAGAGAGTCCTTGGAAAGGTAGGATGGCATCCCTGAGCAAAAATGCATCAATCACACCAGTCCAGCTATCGCAATTAACCCTTAGTTAAGCTGGGACCTTCTGGAGAAACAGAAAAGAATTTGAGGGAATATGAGATGCTATCTGCCACAAGGATTACCAATCTACATGTGGATCAAAGACAATTCCACATTTTACCCTAGTGATTAGCTGTAATTAAATAAAGTAAGTCTGTTTAAACTTCATTAGCAGCAAGACATTTGCTACAGCAGAGTGGGCACAAATCATCCATTCTTAATTAAAAGATAATCCACAGTATGACCATAATCTTGTTCTAAAAGTACACTCTTTCCCCTTGAAAGATTTCTTCATCAAATAAGGATAAATAACAGTTTCTTTCTGTTTAAGCTACAAAGGAATGGATGCTCCTTCCCATTTGCTTGAATGAGTGCTGAATGTGCCTGATAACATCACTTTGGCATGCTATTATCTAAAATGGTAGAATACCTCACTTCAGCAAAGTCTGACATAAATCTTTGAAAACAAAGAAACTGCATATGTATGAGCTGAAATAGATATGACAGTGTTGGCACATTAATATTCCTGTCACTGGGGGTTTCAAACTTTTAAGGGAGATGATATCAATGAATTCAGGCTGTAGCTAGTGGAAGAGGACAATGTACTGCAGGACAATTATTAATTACATACACCAAAACATATTAAAAAAACATACAATACAGTCCAAAATGCATCATGGTACAGACCAGTGCTAAAGATTCCTCTGAGTCCTACTGCAGCTCCATTGTGGGAGGATAAGTCCTAATCAGCAGCAAAAAGACATTTCCCTTTCTACTTCTACAGTTGTGGTGGTGGTGGTGCATGGACAACATGTTTTCAATTGTCACATAACAACCCTCATTAACAGTAACTGCAGTGCCCAACTGAACTCTGCCCAGTCTGAAATGGACCATTATATATGGTACGAGTGTGATGTGAGGGTATTCAGTAGGGATCTTTTATTATTTGATGCTAGAGTGTGTAGAAGATGTTAAGAAAAATGTATTATGTCTGTGTCTTCTAAGCAACACCAAAGCTGAAAATTTCCTATTTTATTTGGAGGAGGAGGGAAAAAATATCCAAAATTTTTATTTATGGTCCTTTGTCTTAGTATATATGCTGCTTACTCAGCTCTGCCCCTTGTGATGGGAATACCTGGGCAAACTGCAGGAATTAGAGATCACAGACATGAAGATTACATTGTAAGATCTGTGGGGCAGAGCCTGTTAACTCAATGAGGTACCTTGATATCTTTTGATCTTTAAAAGTAAGTGAGGAACATGAAAGCCACTTAATCAGCAGAAGAAAATTCATGCTAAAATCCAACCCAGGATCAAAACTCATGATTGAATCTGCATATAATTCTACAAGTAGCTTTTTAAAATTTTTTAATGAAAGACTTACTGGCAGTGACTATACAGCATGTACTTGTCCAGTGACATGCTGACCTTCAGAGATAGGACAGAAGGGCTGCTTAAAAGCTTTTACAGCCTTTACTTTTTAACTCACTAGCTGTTTCTCTTTTTCTTTGTCTCCCCCCAACTCTGCACTGTTTTGAGCCTATGTGAGGCTGTTTTGAGCCGTGACACCTGACATTCAATAACCTCTCAGCAGTTGTGGATAAAGGCCTAAGAAAATTCCTCTTTCACAAACAGGCATGAAACACCATATAGCTCCATATAAAAGCATCTCAAACACACTTGATAACAAGTCAGCTCTTTTAGGCTACTACAAGAGGGCACTAGTAATTTCCAAATATTTTTAAACTTTACTAATAAAATTCTGGAGAGATGCTAAGGTGAGTGCTTTCAAACAAGAAATATGTCTGTGCTTTGGTTTTGACTTAACTCTTTTATTACACTATTGCTATCTGTCATTTCCTGCATGTGTCAGTACTGCTTCTGAATCACAAAAAATGTCATGGATACACCATGCAAAAAAGAAAGAATTTTGTACCCTGCCATGATAAGCAACATCACTTTGAAGAGAAAAAAATTACATGTTGATAGATTATCAGGCAACTGCAAGGTATTATACTTGCCATGGTCTTACACCAGTACAGTGGAAGTTGACAACAGCATCAGTATTCTCAAATCCCATCCATTCTTCAGCTAGTTCAAATTCCTTTGTGCCTCTAGGATCTGATTTTGAAATTACATTAATTTAATGTTTGAAATTGTGGAGTGACTTCTGTGTGTATCAATGGGCCAGATTTTACCTCTTTATTTTATCTGAAGCAGCATTTTATGTCCCCAGTCAACAAGGCACTTAAGCAAGAAATAATTTTAAGTGTATGTATAAACCCATCAAAAT